TTAGAGATACATGTATCCTTCAGAGAGTTGTTGAGTGTTCTCTTGAAACTTGAACTTTAGTGCAACTAAAGGGGGGGTAGCAACTTCATGTTCATGGTCTCTTGCCTGCACAGTGCCAAAGGCGACATTTCTGCCAGAATGTGTAAGACAAAATTATGATGCATGTTCCTTAATTGGAATTCACAACACAATTTCTGTTATTAAGAAAATATTGTTAATGGAGAGGGACTCAGGAAGATGTGATTCTTACATGCTTTAAAAAATTAAATGGAAGTTAAAGTCTGCTGAAAACTAGGGAAAGGGTGGAAAAAAATTTGATGGAAAAGTAAAATGTGCTAAAAAAATAAATTGCCTGAATGATAATGAAGAAACTGAAACACACAGTAAAAAAAAAAAAATACACCAAAACACAAAAGCCCAAAGGACACAAATGTGGGTTACAAAGGCATAACTCAAAACCAAACATCATTTATTGAAATAACCAAAATTTAATGTTCAATATTCTATTACACCTTCAAAATTACCATCAAAATATTTTTGAATTACCGAAAAATTAAATATTTTTTGAAAACACCTCTTCAAGAGGTAATTATGAAGATTTGAAGCCACAGAAATTGTGGAAGCTGCATAGGGGACTGAACAGGCTCAAGACCGGGCAGTTCCCAGTGCTGGGAGGGAAAAGTGACACAGGCTCCCACGACTAAGGACGAAGCAATTGACTCAGACTTGCAATGGAAACTTAGTTTTCTCCAATGGAGTCTTTTGGATTTATTAACCACACTTAACTGTAGACCCCAATCCAGCACTTGATGACCAGTAAAAAACAAACTCATATTTTTGTGGACTTTTTGTCTCATCCTGCTTTGTTTGGATATTTTTCCCCTTGGTGGGGATCTTTTGATTGTATATTATGGTTTTGATTTTTTTTTTTTGAGACAGTGTTTCTCTGTGTAGTTTTGGTGCCTGTCTTGGACCTCGCTCCACAGACCAGGCTGGCCTCAAACTTACAGAGATCTGACTGGCTCTACCTCTCGAGTGCTGGAATTAAAGGTATGTGCCACCACCACCTGGCTATATTATGGTTTTGAAATTTGTGTTTTAAAAGGTTTTGTATGCATGTGAGTGTGTTTCTTGTGGTTTTTTTTCTCATTTAAAAATTGCTTTTGTTCTTGTTTGACTGCTGTTGTCTTTCTGATGAGAGAGAGAAAGACTTGGTGTTGTCTGAGAAGAGAGATGGAGAGGTGGGGAAGTATGGGAGAATTCAGAAAACTGTTATCAGAGAATGTTAAGCTCTGTTCATTCTAGGAAATGACTTCTATGCTGTCAAGTTGTAATTTGAGTGACTTACAAACACTTATTTTTTGAATAAGTTTAGGTATAATATATTCCCTGCATATCTTGTCTAAATTAATATAGTTCCTCCACTATTATGAACATCACCCAACCTGAGTACTAATTTTGTTGTACTCAACAAATCTACCTGGCATGTGGTAAACACTGACTTTTCATGTCTCATTAGAGTTCTCAAGAGTCTTCATGTGCATTCAAGGAGTTTGATTAAATGTACAGTGATAGGGATGTATCGTAAAAGCTCTGCATATAGTGTTCTAACAATCCTTAAATAATCATTTATTCATCCCTAGACATATGTACATATAGCACAGATAATTGGACTTGGTTATGCATTCATGCATTAGTACATATATACACACATGTACATGTGTGTAACAATAATAATTCAAGAAGAGATCATTAAATTTGGATAGGTACATGGGGGAATTAGAGAGCAGGATGGATTTAGATGCAGTATTCATATAAAATTATTGAGTATAAAATCAAAGTGTCGTATAACAAGGTATATATAATTTCTTGATTGACTCTATTTAACTTAATGATATACATTCAAGAAGCCTCCATTTCTTTTGAAAGTGTCTGAATATACCACAATTTACAGGAGTACTTCTCAACCTTTTTAATGCTGTGACCATTTATACAATTTCTCCTGTTCTGGTAACCTGAACCTTAAAATTATTTCATTGTTACTTCATAACTGTAATTTTGCCACTGTTTTGAATTACAACGTAAGTATCAGATATATAACCCCAAAACAGTAGTGACCTACCCACTGGAGAACCACTGATTTTAGTCTCATCTACAGAGAGACATTCAAGTTTTTTCCAAGCATTAAAAGTTAGAAATGAAAAGACTATAGGGAATGTTATGGAATCTTATAAAACTGAATATTTCTCCTGGCCTAAAAATGGGCATTTTTAATCACTTATCAAAATAGCATTGGGCATCTAAATGTAATATTCACAAAATATCTGTATAGAGAAGATTGATGAAGTGGCATTGAAATTGTCATGCTTATTAACCTTGGAAGAGTTTAACATTTAAAGTAAATACAGAGCACTCTTGCATAGACCACATCACACTTAAATATTTTATTATATTAATAAGATGTATGGATCACAGAGTGAACCAATAGTATTTTAACCAATTGATTTTAGTTGATTTATTACTTAATTTTTTGTTTTTGTTTTACTATATATCCTTATTTTCTTTCCAGGAGTGTGCTTAGCTTCCATAATAATATGACAATCATATATTCTTAGGTTCATATCAACTGTACTTCAATTTACATGTTTAGATGACCTTAACATCTTTAGGAGGACTAAAATGTGCTTCATATAATACTCAATAATTGTGAATTGAAAGACATTTTTTTCTCATTAGACCAAAGTAGCATGTTTGGGTGGGGGTGAAACCCTCAAATTACTTTCTTTAAAGAGACAAAGTAAGTTCCTACTGCTTAGAAGATGGCTTCGAAGATAACTAATAATTTTCACCATTCTCTTAATGATTTAGCTGGAGTGTTAGGATATTTGTTGAGCAAAAAGTGATTTAAAAAAAACAGTGGCTGCTTTAAAATGGAAATACATCATTGCATGTGCGAAATGAACTAGTTTCATGATTTACATGCTTTCCATTATGTGGTGGTTCTAAGATGCTGGTGCTTTGCTGATGTTTTTGATGAATTTTTATGGAGAATACCTTATCTAGATCTTTTTATAATCTTAGTCTAGTTTTGAAGTTGAGCAGTAATAGTTGCAGAAAAGGGATTAGGAAGTGGTTCTTCTGCTTTTCTTAGCTCAGAAATTTTCTGAATCATCAGTTACTAAAGGAATACTTGGTATGTGTAATGAGTCCATCTGTGTGACATAATGAAAATGCATTATAATCAAATTATTTAATAGGTATAAACCTATTCAGATTATCTTACTTTTATAAAAGTTTCATGGTTTCTGTTGCCCATTAAATAATCTATTTTATTTAATTTTCGAATATTGGGATAGTCATTTATTTTGTAACATTTTAATACCATCATCATTACTATTACAAGCCTTTGTCAATTATATTGAACCCTTTAAAATTAATTATAGTCACATTGGTCTTACTTATTGTTTGACTGTTTTTAGTTTTGTTTTGCAGGTGATAGGACTGAACATAGGGTTTTGGACATAGTAAACCCATCTGTCACTAAGCTATAATCTTAGGCCCCATGCACTTCTTATGAATAATTTTATTTTGTACATCAATTATTTCTTTTCTGTGTTGTTTTATTTAGGCCAAAGTTACTGTTCTCTAGTTTCTTAAAACAGAAGTTTAAGTTATTGTTTATAATGTTGCCTTTTTTCTAATGCAAACACAAATACTATATTTATTGTTTGTTTTCTTCTTTGCTTCCCTTTAGAGACTTTCATTTTGAAGGTCTACCATGGACACTTACTCCAGATGCTATCTCGAATGTCCTAGAAGTTCACGTCAGTTTTACTCTGTTTGCACTTTGTGCTACAAGTCAAAAGAATCCATCTCTTCTCAGACACAAGTATTGCCTGTTAGAAGCTTTATCTTAGTGGAGTACATTCTTCCAGTGGGATCTATATTTTGATGCTTATAATTTAATTTTAATCACATCTTTTATTTAATATTTTAGCTCATCATACAGTGATGGGTAGATTGTAATTTTCCTACAAGAAATTCACTCTCCCTTCCATTCCCAGTTAAAGGAATAATCCATTGTCGTTCTTATTTCCACTCCTCTGTATGTGAATTTATTTTGTTGGTTTTTTTTGTCCCACAATTTTTGTCTAGTCTTCTAAAAATTGGAGTAGATTATTCTCTTAGTTGGATGGAAACACTATGTGAATGTGTGGCTTCCTGTGTGATGTTTCCAATGTAAAAACTCACATTTGATTGCTATATAGTATTATGCAGAGAAAACATTTCATTTAATGGCTTCTTTTTCCATTGAAAAACAGGGAGCAATGTTTGATGCCACACATGGTATGCTACACCTGCCTCTTGCTCTCTTTGAGGCCGAACTTCATAAGATACCTTTGATGTGCATAAACCACTTTAAAGGTAGTGTTTTTATTTGTGAATAAAAGATGTTTTCTTACCAATTCCTTAAGGATGCTTTTAACTTTTTACCTATGGAGAGTACAAATCAATTCCAGCAGTAATGCATCTAAAATTGACAAACCGTAACTAGACCATTCTTTCATTTTCATTTTTTGCAGCAAGAATATATTATGTATGGCATCACTTAAAAGCACTGTAGGAAAATAACATACCTGCTTATTTTGCTTGTCATTTTATGTGATTTTTTTATCTACTCACACTAAAACTTTTCCTGACTAATGTGTAAATAATTCAGTTATGCAGCAGTAAAAATTATTAAGTAACATAATAACCATGTAAATGCTTTATATCTACATGTATATTTGTTATCGACAGATAAAATTACCATTTTTATTGAGATTATTCTAGTAGCAAAACAACAAAGCCCGAGGAACCAGTTTAGAATACTCATCTCCCCCATTCAAGACCCTAGCCTTACCTCTATGACCACAAAAGAAAAATGAAGACTATAGATTCTGTATATGCATTGTTACTTATGCTTCTAGAATGTTTTATCATTCCTAACATCATAGTAGACCCCACCCACCTGAGAACATAGCAGATGCTTTCCTCTCCAGGCTTGTTTTCTATTTCTAAGATTCTTTCTTTAATACTCATCTTAGGTTGTTTTCATAATTCAAGGAGTCTTGAGGAAAACACATGGCCTAAACTTGATTAGGTAAATTACTTTCTATTGTCACTTCAAAAATAAATGTTAAGAACTGTGTTTTCTGGTTTTCTGCCGGGTGGTGGTGGCGCACGCCTTTAATCCTAGCCCTCGAGAAGCAGAGCCAGGTGGATCTCTGTGAGTTCGAGGCCAGAATAGGCTATCAAGTGAGTTCCAGGGAAGGCACAAAGCTACACAGGGAAACCCTGTCTTGAAAAAACAAAACAAAACAAAAAATTGAAAATGTGCTCAGCCAGAAAGGCCCAAGTCCACACAGCTGTGGCAGAGTTACAGTTCTGTGGTGTCATGTTAGTTACCTTATAGTTACTGTGTAATTAGTGCCATTCAATGTATGTTACGAAAAATAAAATGTGTCTACCTCAGACTCCGTGTAGTATTTTTTGTATAATTGTATTTCCTAATACTGATATTTGTCATTCACACAGAAAGTGTATTGGTTTGTTTTTGTTTGTTTGCTTTTTTTTTTTAAGAAAGTATATTTGGAAATAAAGTCAGATGGAACTTTAAAAAAAAAGAATTGTGTTTTCTATCACAAAATGAAAAGGAATGAGGTCATAGCAAAGAAAGAATAATAAATCCAAATCATATATACTTCATGAGTGTATTGCTGAGATTTCCAAACCTAATATTTCATTCTGATGATCTCAACACTTTCAAAATTTTGTTGCTGTGAAACTTACTCAAAATCTGGTACTGTCTGAGGGACTCATCAACTTTGAGATATTGCTTCAGTGAAAATTGCTCTAATTCATTCAATACCCTTTGATACTATCATTTATATTTACTCGTGTGTCTACAATAAATTTACTTTAATAATTTTATTGTAATTTTATATCTATATTCTTACAAATGTATGTTTATATTTCCTACCATATAATAAGTTAAAAATATTTACATAATCATTAAAGAGGGGAAGAAAAAAAATAAGTGAGTAAAGCAAAGATGGAATAGGAAGTGAAGGAGGACCAAAGGAAGGAAGATGGATTTAAAGGAGATAGGTGGTAGAATCATTATTTTAAATGAGGCATCTTTAAATTTTTAATATCCTTCTGGCATAAGCCAAATTCTTAATTAAGCCCTATAAGATGTGTGTGACCTATTGATTAGAAATCCCATCTATGAAAATGAGGACATCTTTTTATTTGTAGATTGACTCATTCTAGACATGAAGAACAACATTTCTCATGCAAATGCTGCTATTTTCAAGGAATAAAGCTAGTGTTTAGGGAAAGGTCAGTGCTAATCCTTGTAGCTACTAAAGCACTTTCTAATGTGACAGCATTAATGCACCAACAAATTTGACCTACACAACGGAAAGAAAATTATGACATGTAAGTAACGTTTAGTAGCCTACTATAATGTTAGGAATGATAAAACATTCTAGAAGCGTAAGTAACAATGCATATTTATGGAGAAAATGGAGAAAACCAGTAAAGCAGATATTTTACTGTAAGGGGTGATAATTTTATAAGGTAAGAGAACGTGAGTTTGTGTTTTATTGAGAAGAAAATCTGCATCACCTCTTATACTGAGAGATTTCTATGTATGAAAATTTTCATCTTCAGAGTATTAAATTACTACAAATATTTCTACTTAGTGGGAAATTGCATCTGTCACCAGGAGAAGTTCATGCTGAACATCATGAAAGTCCAAACTGCCTTATGTGTTCATGTTTCCTTGCAATAATCATAGCCGACATCTTTTCTGTCATTCATGACTGGCTAATATGATAAAATTTTCCATGAGGGCTTCTATTCTCAGTGTCTACTGAATGAATTAGCTTTTGAATTATCTGCAAATGATTCTAAAATTTAATTAGCTAAAATACAGAAATAATAAAATTATATTTTATGACATAAAAATTAGATAATATGCTTAATTAAGTATTTATATAAAAATTGCTATGTGTCCCTTGAAAAAAATTTCAATATAAACATAGAAAAACATATATACTCCACATATTTAATTGCTCATTTCTAATTTGAGGGATATTGTCACAAACAAAAAATATAACAACAAATTTGTTTCTCAATTTGTATGTGTCTCTGACTCAAAATAAAGAAGCAGTGTTTATTCAATGTCTATATACTCAGGAAATATTATTTTGCACTTACACAAATTCTATACTCAATGATTTTAATGATGAATTATTATAGGTTTGCACTATGATAATAAACTTATAAATAATATATAAAGCAAAATAGAATTTTGAGAAAATATGATACTGTTGCTATTTCCTCATCAGATTAATAGCTCTAAAGTCATTTAAGGCTTTGTGTATAAAGAAAACTAACTAGTTAATGGCCTAAATGGATTTTATAAAATGGAAATGCACACTTAAAACATTATGGTATAAAATTGCAGTTTTATTTTTGAGCTAAGTAAATATAAATGTAGAGATATATAAATCACAAAAGCAGATCAAGAAAACGTACTAAGAATAATGGTACTCATCTGTAATCCAAGTACTCAGGAAATTAGATTAAAGCAGGAGAATTGTGTGTGTGTGTGTGTGTGTGTGTGTGTGTGTGTGTGTGTGTGTTAAAATGTCTGAGAAAATGTCAGATAAATTAATGTCTACAATGCTTGTTCCAGAAGAAGAATAAAGGCCTCCTGGGCTACATAAGAAAAACAGAGACATTTTTTAAAAAAAGGGAAGAAGAAAAGGAAAGAAAGAAAATATGGAAGAAAAGAAAGAATGAAGTGAAGAAGTAAGGAAAGAATGAAGAAAGGAAGGAAGAAAGAAAAGAGAAAGAAAGGAAGGAAAGAAGAATGAAAAAAGGGAGGAAGGAAGGGAGGGAGGGAGGGAGGGAGGGAGGAAGGGAGGAGGGAGCGAGGAAGAAAGAAAGGAAGGAAAGAAGGGAGGAATGAAGGAAGGAAGAGGCAGAAGAAGGGTAGGAAGAAAGAGAAACAGGAGGATGAAAGAGTGAAAACAAATTTAGTTTTATGGAATTCATGTTCTAGACATGTAGTACACAGTTGATGAACTCTTTGATAATGGTTAGGAGCTGTGTCCTTGTTGGAAGAGATGTGAGGCCAGGGCTGGGCTTTGAGGATTCAAAAGCCCACATGAGGCCTAGACATTCTCTAAGTTCTTATCTACTGCTCCAGCATCATGCCTGTCTGCTTCCTGCCAAGATGATCCCTAACTAATCTTCTGAAACTATAAGGAAGGCCACAATTGAATACTGTCTTTTATAAGAGTTGCTTTTGTCAAGGTGGCTCTTCAAAGCAGCAAAAGAGTAACTAAGATACACATATACATTCAGGAAAAAGACTAAAAGATTATAAAATCTGTACAGTGAGTCACTGGTTAGCTCATATCCTACTGGCAAGTTTCCCCAAAAAGTTCAGTATTTTTCTTGGCAAAAAGTTGTTCTGTCTTCCTCTTAGCAGCATAGCTAAATAATTCCTATGCTTTCTAATTCTGTTTTCAAGAATGACATAAAAATGCTATTACATTTCTTTAATTTCAAAGTTAAGTACAAAAAGACACAATTGTGCATTTAAAAACAAGAGGAATTCTATGAGCAAGGGGCATCAAGATCATGATGGGAAACCTACAGAGACAACCAAACCAAACTAGTGGGAACTCATGAACCGTGGACCAACAGCTGTGGAGCCACCATGGGACTGAACTAGGCCCTCTGCATAGGTGAGACAGACAGTTGTTTAGTTTGACCTGCTTAAGGGGCCCCCTGGCAGTGGAATCAGGATCCATCTCTGGTACATGAGCTGGCTTTCTTGAAGCCCACTACCTAGGGTGGGCCACCTCGAACAGTCTTCATACAGGGGGAGGGATTTGGACCTGCCTCTGCTGAATGCACCGGGCTCTGGTGACTCCCAATGGGAGGCCACACCATGTTGGAGGAGGGAATAGAGGGTGGGTTAGCAGGGAGGCTGGAGGGGCAAGAGGAAGGAAGAGGGAGATCTGTGGTTGGTATGTAAAATGAATAGAAAATTTCCTTTTTTTTTTTTTTTCGAGGCAGGGTTTCTCTGTGTAGTTTTGGCGCCTGTCCTTGATCTCGCTCTGTAGACCAGGTTGGCCTCGAACTCACAGAGATCCACCTGGCTCTGTCTCCCGAATTCTGGAATTAAAGGCACGTGCCACTGCCGCCCAGCTAGAAAATTCCCTAATATCCACACATTGTGCTAGGCACAGGCTACAGGGACCCAGGATTTGAGGTGCCTAGGGATGAGTCTCTCTGTGATGGGTTTCTGTCTGATCTATGCTGAAGGAAATTAATGGCATCATTTTCTACCTCAAAAGTGAACATAATAATCATTTCTATCCCGCAAAAATACTAATAGAACCAAAGAATATTGAAATGCTGGAAACTCATACCATCTAAAGAGACAATGTGTAAATTTGTCCTTACATAAAATTAAAGTTATATGATGTCCAATAAAATAATTTCCTTTAAATTGTATCATTTTATTCTAATTTATAGACTCAAATAAATCTGAAAGTCTAAATAAAAGTTTAACTTGAGGAAAACTAATAATTTAATAATTCTTGTGAGAGTCTCATTACTTTGGTAGAAACTAATTTGCTTGATTGGCTTAATTAATACCACCAACTCCCTCAATCATTCTATATAATATGGAATAAAATGTCCTTTATAAGTTTAGTTTTAAATTTTAACTCTACTGTATCTTAATAATTCTCAAGTTGAGAAAATTGAAATATTTATTTCATCTTCTTTAGTATATATCAGTGTTTTGTAGGTATTTTGGTATTAAGATATGCTTAATAAATTATTCCCATATTGAACAAATTAATAAATTAATTATAATTGCTTTGATTTTTCTTCATTAATAGTTTGCTCACAGATGGAAGAAAATTCACTTCAACTTTCTTATGAGACTTTTCAACATAGTATGTCATAGCTACAACATTAATAAGAATTCTGTCAAAATTTAGTACTATTTTATGTATTTCTCAACACTTAGAAGTTTGATTCTAATAGCAGTCTCCATCATAAGTAAATATGTATCTAACATTTCACCTTACACTTTACTCTGTTTGAATTAATTATTCAAATTTTGGAATGGAACACTTCTGATAAAGTTAAATTGCAAAAATCTAAAATATTCTGGACTTTGCAACTAATAGTATGTGACATTATAATTTTACAATTTATAACAAAGGATAAAGAATAAAATCGTGAAAAATTTGGGGGCCATTAGTCTTAAATTTTGAAATATGTGTGCATATTTATGTTCAAAGAGCATAAGTCTTCATGTATTTTTAGAATTTCACTTTGTATCCAAAAGACAACTTTATTTTATTATGTAATTTACATATTCTACACATAATGCAATCTTTTCTGAAAACTACTGAATATGTATTTCAGTTAATTTTTAATTTCTTCATGTTCCCACATATTTTTAGAAACTTTGTGTATATGTGTGCTGTAAAATCTAATGCATTCTGAAGTATTTCTTCATTTTAATGGTATTTCTATCATTTAACATTTCCCCACAACATCTACTTGTTAAAAGCAGTGAGACATTAAATTAAAATGAATCAAAAACAGCAAATTTTAATAGGAAAATAAAATTAAGAATGACAGGTTTTTAATAATCAAACATTTTAATATGTAGTTTGATTCCTTATTATATTCTTGGTATTAATAGGTGCCTAAATAGTTTTTTTTTTCTTAGCAAGTAGTTTACCCAAAGGATAAAGAATATATTTAGCATGCAATGTGTATCCAACAACAGAACTCTTATACAAGATTGAAAATGTTTACAGATGGCTGGATAATAAGTTAGTGGAAGTTGGATAACTTGGAAATAGTTAACATTAAGTACTTTCTGAATGACTGTTTCTAAATTACTACAAAGAATAGTAAGTGTAAGTTGTTGACTTACAAATGGCTTCTAATTGTGTGTGTGTGTGTGTGTGTGTGTGTGTGTGTGTGTGTGTGTGTGTAAGAGAGAGACAGACAGACAGACAGACAGACAGACATGTTACTTCTCCTGTCTCTTCTTTCACTTCTATCTCCAGGGGCTGGAAAGCTCACCCAGATGTCGCTTTGCTCAAAATAAATCTGGTCATTTCCTTTTTCAGTTTGGCTTGATCTAGCTTACTGCATCAGCGGACTAACCTATTATCAGGCTACAGAATACCCACTGAAGAGATTGTGGCCATCCTGTCTTGTTAATGAGAATGGACAAAACATTCCTTGAAAGTATGCAGGGAGTTCAAGGAATGCAACATTCATGAGTCAAGACCCATGGTTGATGGGTCATTTGGGTTACACAATAAATTTCTTGGTTCACCAAAGTAGATGTCGGTAAGATAATTTATTTGTTTTGTCATGAGCACCTAACCAGTGTCAACTAGAAATTATTCAAGTCCTTTTCAGGCCAATTGAAACCACAGTTCAGTTTCTCTGAGATGAAATATTCCAGTAAATCAAGCAAAAACTTTAATCCAGGCTTTTACTTTAACATAAGGCTGCCGTTAATAAAGTCAAATTATCAGAAAATTTTTTTAAAAACTGTGCTACAGAAAAAGTTCCCCATTCTAGAATATCCTGCTTGCCCCAATTTCTATGTGTTCTTTATTTGTTTGCTTCTTTTTTTTTTCTGGATACAGCTATAAAACCCTAGAACTTGATATAAAAATGACTGCTTTTTTGTTTTGTTTTGTTTTTTACAACAGAAGAGCTAGAAGTCTCCGACAAATGCATCTCAAAGAATTAAAGCAGGATTCACAAACTAAAACTTAAAAAAGTGATGGCTGTAATCAATATTTGCAGCCACGACCAGCATAACAGAGAAATCAAAAACCTTCAATAATTTCCAATCATCCCCTATGTGTCTCTACCTTGGTCATTTAAATAGTTCATTAGCTAATAACTGCTCAAGATGACTGATTTGAATTTTATTCACTATCTTTGGAGACACACTATCAGTCTAAAACTTCTCCTGACCAAGGACTCATTCTGTAAACCAATTTGGCCTTGAACTTGAACTTAAGATCTTCCTCTTGCCTCTGCTTCCAGAGTGTTAAGATTATAGTTATGTAACAACACACAATGCTGGGAAGGTGTGTTTGATTGACTCTTGACACATGCTCAGTTGATGGGCAATAAAATCTGTTCCCTTTGTAAAAGACCAAGCCGTTGGCTAGGACATGTCCTCTATTCAATCAACAAAGGAAGCTCTGTTTTCCTCACTGTAACCTTTAGCCCATCAATATATTTTTATTATTGAATTTGATATATCTTGTTAATTAACTGATTGATTGTGATGCTGAGAGCTGATAAAGACGCATATCCTTACATGTGTTCTATGTCCCATCGGGCAGTATTTTAAACAAGTTACAACTAGTCATTTTATTTGGTAGGTCAACTGATTCAACCTTTAGAGATGCATTTCTCAATGTCAAATTTTCAAATTCAAATATTAGACTTAGCTTGAAATCAAGGATAATATGCCTTAGAAAGCCCTTCCTAAAACCTATGTGAGCCTTTACCAAGTCATGGCTGAGAGAAGATTCTTTGGTAGAGTCTTTAATACTCAGAATTAGCAAGAAGTTTTGTTTAAATGATAGCAATTGATTATTTCTTTTTATAACATGAATCAAAGTCAGAGGAATTTATTGATCTGGCTAGCTGGGAATAATTACCAGCACTCATGAGTTAAGATATTTTACTAACTGGAATAAAATAAACAAACTAAAAACCTGCTTTAACATGGTTGCTGCTGTAAGTAGAGAAAATTTACAATTATTCCTTTTAAATATGTAATACATAATACAACAAAAAAAATATATCTCAACTTTATATCTTCTGTCCTTAGCTTATAGAGAAAAACAATCTTATTTGTGGCACTTACGTCAGCCTAGTAAGTAATGCGTTTACACTTCTGAAGAGTGGCAGATAAGAGCATGTAGGAGAGCATATAAGCAATGATTAGCAAAGTCTAGTTGCAAACTTTATAACCAAACAAACAGAAACCCAGATGACTGCATATGTACAATTTTGGGTTCTTCTAACATCAATCATATACATTGGAAATATTTCCTATGTTTCTAGAAAACATTGAAAAAATATTTAGCAGGAATAGATTTTGGAAGACTGGAAACACCAGAGACAATAAATCAAGTCATTGACATTAAAATAAGAAGATTCACATTTGAGGGAACTCTCCTAGCAACAGCATGGTAAACTAACATCACTGCTCTTCTTCATTTGTGCTCCAGTACTGTTACTGTGCTAAGAATAGTACATGCAATTGCCTCTGCACTTCCTGAGGCAGCTTAACTATAAATAGTGGCACATTTGGGGTTATCTTCATTTAATATTCAAATTTCGCTTTATGAATTTGTACTAAATTAATAGAATCCACACATTATGTTGAGAAACTGTTTAGTAACTTGCTTTACAATGGGGTGACTCATCTCAAGTCTATGCAAAGCAGAATTTCTGAGCACAGATATAGTGTTCCTGTGGTATCAACCTTCCAATGGTACAGCATATGGAATTGGCCAGGGCAATGCAATCTGACACACAATGAAAATTTTTTTTTATTAAAAAGAGCTTGAGTATTATGAAATGTCACATATTAGTTCTTGGCTAATAATGAAGGGCTAATACTTCTCAATGTTGAAACTATGGGGCTGTAGTAAGGAGGAGTAGG